GAACGGATCACATATTAATCAGCATACGTTAGGAAGATAAAGAAAAGTTAATGGCGAAAGGATTGAAGTTTTCCTCTGGTTTTTAATTTTTTAAGACGAATTGAACACGTGGGAGAAAAATACTTGTGAGTCTCACATATTTCTTCCACTATTTTATCCTTTGCTTCCAAGTTCCAACCAAATAAAGCATTGGAGTTGTGTTGGCACCGTAACGCATGAGTTACTGTACATATAAGATCACGAGCATATGATTTAACATATGGTGGATTCTACTAATATCTCTCAGATCAGGGTCTCTTGACAATTATCAGTTAATTAAGTGATAATAATGCTTATCTAATGGGAAACAGAGCAATACTGAATGGAGGAATGGCGAACTTTGTCAACTTGTCAGCAGAATGCTTGTATTTTTCCTCAAAATCCGAATATTTCCACATTATTAGTTTCTATTTAATTTCAAATTTAAATGGCTCCTAAAAAGAGTTACAAAATTCCTTTTTTGGTGACATGTCAACTATTTCTGCAATTTGGTTTCTGAGTTGGCTGAGGACTGAGGTATCTGCAGTGATATTGACTTGCATGTCGGCAAAAGTCTAACCGCTTATCAATTTTGCATTCCACGTCTCAGATTAATATACAGTTGGACTTGCTAAATATTTGTGCTTTTTCTGTGGAATCCGTGAAAGTCTAATGGCTTTTAAATGTTTGTTTTCGTAGTGGGAGTTGCCAAAAACATGGTTTTCACAGAAGCAACAAATGTGATTTTTAGGGTTCCTACCGTTAAAACAAGCATGCCTTAAATTGTTGCAATGGAGATGGTGAAAAGTTATGCCTTGCCAACCAATTGACTGCTCAATAAGTTAAAGACATTCACTTCATGACTTGAAGCCATTCAGAAGGAGAAAAATAGAACAAAATCAAAAACCATATTTACTGCAACCCCAATTTTAACCATGTATGGACTATGTTAGTCTGGCACGGCAATTCAGCACATGCTTGATCCCCTCAATCCATATCTGTTTGTCATGTTTACTTGCACATTCAAATTCTATTATCCTGTCTGCTGTTTTTATTCCGAAATAAGCCCTCTTCTCAATGCTGTCTTCCCTTTCCCTTTCAGGCCAAGCTGGTATATCACTGCACACTCCAGTGACTATATCTGCCACATTAGGTCCATATCTTAACCATTGTTGACACGGAGTGGTAAGAAGACAACAAGTAAGCAGAAGGTGCAAAATTTGCTTACATTTCTTCTTTTTCTTGAACGTTCCTCCCATATGCTTGCTTTTCAATTTGGCTACAACCTGTTACCATTTTTCATTGATTAAAGTTGTCCAAACACAAAATTGGTTGGAATACAAAGTCGCAGCAACAAGAAACTTATCATTCTGCTCTCCGACCTACAGAGGGACTATCAAAACTTCATGTACAGCTATGTTCCTCTATCTAACATAGAGTTTTGGAATTTATGCCCCTAATTTGTTAATGAACATACGAGTATTTTCACCAATTACCTGCATATTTGAATTCACAATGAAGGACACTCGCTTCCAGTGAAGATCCCCTGTTACAATTAATTAGCAAAGAAACTCAAATTAGAATTAGAGCCTTTTCTATAGATCTGGATTCTCTTATTTTTAATTTTATTGAGGTTGTTATAGCAAAGAAGTTAATAAACATACCTTTTCTTGTGCGTTTGAGAAGTTCTCCTCCTCTGAAGACACAGTCTAGTGCTGTTAAGATGTTCGCTTCTTTACCTTCTTCACACATTTCCTCCACTAAAGGAAATGTTGAGCTTCCAATCCCCTTTTGCAGCCTAGCTTTTAGAGTAGCAGCTCCTCGCAAGGCTGTCAACAATGATTAATTCATCACAAATTCTCTTTTATGTGTTGGCAATTTTCAAATCTCTGGCAAAAGAAATCCAAAGACTGTGAGCCTTAGCCACCTTTTTTACCATACGTTAACACTTGATTAAGTAAATTTCATTTATTTTTTCCTTACTGAGTTGCCATGTTCTGTTGGTCCACATTGATTCGGTCATTAATGCAGATTTAGCAATCTACCTGTAGCTGCTCCGGCTGTTAAAGTCATTATGTCTCCATTGGTCTTAGCATTAATTGCAGAGTTAACCGCCGTTAAGATTTGATCATGATCAGCTCCCATATCTTCTGCAATTTCAATACAGTGAGAAGCTACTAAAGCTGCCGCAGATGCTATAGCAGCAGAAGTCTTTGGAGGATCCTTTTGGTTGGTATATGGCATTTCAGGTGATGCTGTTGAAGCTGCAACTGCAGCTACTGCAGCAGCAACGCCTGCCACAGATACTGCCGCGTGCAATTGAGCATTATGTGTCCTTATTTCCTGCTTTTTCCTCTCCTTTTGATCTTTCTTCCACCTACCCATGGTCTTCCCTTTTAATAAACTCTTGTAGAGCTGCTTAGCAAAAATTTTCACCAAGAAAAAAAAAAAACAAGAAGAAATACTGAGTAATATTGAGCTGGTATTTGAGTATAAATCATAATGGTAATCACCAGGCTGAAGAAGAGATACCCCATTTCGAATTAAGTGTTGACCGGAAAGGAACTCTGGATTGAGTGTCTGATGAAGTAAAAATAACTCCTGCATATAATGGATGGCAAGGTTATTGGTTTGCATGCAAGAAATATAACTGCCGTTAGGGTTTAAACCAGAAGGGTGCTCAGTATGAACAAGAGTAAAGTGAAACATCTTCACTTGCATTAAACCTGATGTTGAAATATCCTAAGGTTGTGGATTAAGCAAGTTGACTTTTCTGAATTCCCATGGGAATGTTGGTAATAATCAAAAGTGTAGTTGGCTTAGTTGATGACAAAAAGTAGTTTTTAAGAAAGCACTCTAATTCAAAATAGTTAAAGTTTCTCTATGCAGTAACCTTAAAGGGACAAATCATACTGAGAACTGCATCTTCAAGGTATTGGCTGCCGAACAACAACATTGGCATGTTTAATACACACCCAGTTCCCATATATCAAGATTATCAGTCCACAGGGAGAAAGTAGCAAAGTATACCTTCATTTCCTCACTGCCTCTTGGTGAAATTGGAGGGCTACACCCATTAGTTAGCTGTAAATAAACATCACAATAACAGGACAGACAAAAAGAATTAGATGCCTGTTCATATATAAGAATATCACGATCACCAAAAGAAAAAAAAAAAAAGAGAGAGAGAGAGAGATAGGATATAGTAACATCCTTCCTTATCACCCCCTTGTTTATACGCTTCTTAGGCTTGAGCTTGTCAGAAGTGCTTTGCTTTTCCTCTTTTTTCCCTTTGTGTGTGTGTGTGACATATGATCTATTTTGAGAAAAACTAAGATAACTTATGCGAGTTTTGCGATTGCCTGCATTGGCAGCTCAAAAAGTAGTTCTGAGTAGTCTGGTTAAAATTTTCAAAGTGGTTCATATTCTTACAGAATCTTTTGAAACGGTGGAGACCTTGGTAGCAGCAGGGCAGGAAACTGGCATCTGGACACCAGTAGAAGTCAGGATATTGGTATTGTTCAGTGCCTTGGAGAGCTCCATGGCTGAGATGCTCCATGATCTGGCCAGAAACTCCATGGATTCAGTTGGAGTGTCAGGAGGGGCACAAGACATTGCTGACCACTCAGTAGGACTATTCTCATCTATCTTCTCCAGCCCCTTGACAGAGCACTTAGAGTTGCTCGAGCTCACTGACACCAAAAACAATAACAGAAACCGAGTTAACTGCCGCGTTACACCAAACTGAGGTTTGGTCATGGAAACATTTATTTCTATTTGGTCAACACTTTTCAAAGTATATACTTCCACAGCTGCTTTAGCGCCAGAGAAAGAAAGAATACAATAGACAATAGAAGTCTGGATTAACTTCATTTTACCGAACATGCTATGAAGCAACCACTTACTTGTCTAGAGTAGTAATTGGTCCCAGGCCTCAGTCAGTCAGGAGTTGGGGGAGGAAGAGTACAAAATCTCTAGCGAAGTAAGAAAGCAAGATCAAGACGATGACAAGGAGCAACAGTGAGATATTTAACAAGGAAATGCGACACTATTTCCAAGTTTAATATTTTGAAGAAAAAATGAAAACGATGTCATAGAATCTTTTGTGGGGAAGGGAAGGACCCGGTTTAAAGGTCATTTATTCGTCTCCACCTTAAGTTGTTGCTTTTAATTTCCACTCTTATATGCTTTATACATAAAGGAGATAAAGACCTGTTTTATGGCAGCGGAGTGCATCATTACTTGCATTCGTCTTTGTCGCCATTATCACTTTCTAAAGTAAAATCCGGGGTCCCATTATTACACACTGTTTCTTTTCTTTAATTCCGCCCAACCCTCCTTGGTTCAGTGCATTAACATCATACACAAACTGGTGAGTTTAACAGTTTTAGGAGGCTCCATTTGGTTCTAGATACAAGTTCTATGGATTTCCAACAGGATGCTCAACAACTCTTTCCCGTTAATGGGCATCTGTTGCAAATTTACCATGCCATCATTGGTTTTACTGTTTCCCCGCATGAGTTACTTTTTTCCCCTCCTCTCATTAAGCATACGACAAGAACTCCTCCAACTTGTTTTGGACTACATTATTATAAATTTCATGCACGTGCACAGAAAAGTCAATATTTGTGCAGACTGGATCATAAAATTTGCTCGACAGTTTTCAATGGAGCCTCCTTAAAATTGTAGAAATTTACATTGTTTGGACCGTGCCATCCCCTCCCTGGGCATTAGGCTTTTCATGTTGGATAAAAACCATAAAAGCCGTTTGGACATTGTGTTCAGTCTATCAATGGGCAACAATATTGCTCGTTTTATATAAGCTCCCTTCTTATGATCTGCTAATGTTTTGATAATTTGGATTGTCAGATAAATACTTGTCCCTTGAAGATGTTTACTGATATACTGACCCTTCCACGTCCATAGAAAAATCCAATTCCGTACATTTAAACACGAATTAAGGAAAAGCATGCAGTGAACCATGACACGAGAAAGGAACCTTATTGTTATAGTATTATTTTAGATATAAACAAATCAAGTTGATCTTTAGTAGGGAAAAAATCGTGTTCATGAGCCGAGTGCATACAAAAAACACTCGAGATATCCTTATTGAGCCAAACAACGCTTGAATCTGACTCAAGTGAGATGATGATATAAAAAATGAATTGACACCGAACGCAGAATCAAAGATCTTGACTTCCCTCACCCCTCATTGAGAAAAACATCCTTTCCCGCGTTTTCCCCCTCCCGCAGGACGCAAGCGGATAAACATCCACCGACATAGCTTGTTCTGCAAATAGATTCATCGTCGTCAATTTCCCTCTTTGGAATCTGAAATGGGGGCATCTGCCTTCTGCCATATACCCCACGCAGCATCATGTATGCTCCTAGTTACCATCCGATGTCTTTAGCATGATAATACGATGCTCAGGGAAGACGACGATCTTTAGGCATCCTGCTCGTCATAACAGTCCCATTCCTTTGGCAATGTGAGTGTCCTGACATTTGAGACACTAACAAAGCCCCCTCAAGTGACTCCTTCAAAACCCATATCTGATCAAATTAACAATCCAAGTTATTAGTAATAGTCGGAGAAGAGTTCAAAGTTACATTTTATGTATAAGCAAATATTTATCTCTACCTATTTTTTGGCCGAAGAAATTCTGCGTAGCGAAGGAATCCAGCTGCTTGAAGTGCCAGTGTTATGCCCAAATACACGACCCGGGTTTGAGCTTCCTATTGGTTTCTCTGCTTTCGACACATTTTCTGAGATTCTGGGCCTCGCAGATGTAGATGGACCATTTTTCACAGGCTGCCACAATTTTGTCCCAATAAAAACATTGACTTTAGCCAAATAAAGTACATCTTAGATTTCAACATATTGTACGTATGTTATCATGCAGAGAGGAAGATAACCTAGTATAAATTACAATTATACATCTGGTGCACACTTTTATTCCTACTCAAATTACAATGCCTTCACTGAAACTTCCTTTTAGATCAAAGTTTCATTCACATCACTTTTCTTTATCAGACGTTAAATTAACTAGAATGAATTTGTATGATAGAACCTAACATGAGCCCGGTTGTTCTCATAGCGTGTAAAAAGTAGAGCTATCAACACCTTTTA